CCCCCCAGCGCCGCCTGAACGGGGCCGCGTCCATTGGCGGAGGGTAACGACCCGCCTCGCCCTGGCTTCCTGGCGGGCAGCAGGTGGGTGGTTGGGCGGGAGGAGCAGAGCCCAGGGTGCGAGGCACGTGGCAGAGACGGGCGGGAAGCCTGTTACCTGCTTCAGCACCGCCCTGCGGGGCCCGGACTCCGCGCGGCGTCAGTGGGCACCGAGGCGGGAGCCTTTTCTCCTCCGTGGCGTGGAGCCGACCGGGCACATTGATTGACTGGCGACGTCCCCGCGGGAGCACGCAGGGGCTGTGCCGCGAACGAAGAGCAAGGGCCTGATAGACAGACATGACAGACACCGCTCGGGGGTGACTCTGGAGGAGGAAGGCACGCGTGAGCGCCTTGGCTGCTGCTAGACAGCCGAGCCAGGGACCGCGTAGTTTCCGAAGGGAGGATGTACCTTCCCTTCAGATAAATCGTTGCTAGATACATCCCTAGATAAACTCGACCGTTACTTGCACTTCCTTTTAATTTTGGTTGTCTTTGGAAGGCTTTTAATTAGTGATGAATACAGCGTGAATGCAGCTTTTCCACACATTTATAATCAGTCACGAACAGGATGTTTTTACAACTAATAGGAGGAATGAAACAGAACGACACTTTACAAATATAATCTACTTTGCTCCTTTGTTCACATCAGTACTACACAAATTGAATTTTTCCTACAAAACTCTTCATTTGTTTCTAGTATAGATCTCTGCCTTAATTTACCAAGGAGCTTCTTCCTTTGAAGATGTAGACTTATCTCCTTGTGTCATATTGATTTTTGTACACATAAGGCTATATTTTTGAGGAAATATTCTCAACTGGCACAATAGTAAACATACAGTCATTTTATACACTGGGAGTAGTTGGGTACTTTATGGAAGCTGGTCAGTATCCTAACTGCCTCTTTTACCAGTTCCCAAAATGTAACGCATATTAATATTAATTCAAGCTCCCCTTTCTGCTGTTCTGACTTGTCCATCTACAGTGCAGTCTGTGCAGGCTCCATTAGAATAGAATTGTGTTCCTCTGTAGTCACTGTACCATATGAGGTATCTGCCATTTCCTCCTCTTTCAGTTTCTTGTAGGAAATATCTGTGTCTTCATCTTCATTTAAGGTATCCTGTTTATGGAGCTTTCTTCCATACATCTTGTACACTAATACAAAAAGCCCTGCTTCTGCAGCCTGGAAAATTGCATAAAGCAAGGGAAACATATACATGCTTCCTATGAGATGTGGTGGAAAGGTTAGTTTTAGTATAGCTGTGCAGAGTTGGACATTTTGACATCCTGTTTCCAAAGACACTGTCCTTTTGCAATGAGGAGGCAGGTGAAATAAAGTAGCTAAGCCATATCCTGAGGCATAACCTGCTAAGGGCATCAAGAGTGCTACTATGTAGACAGATGCAGGGATACTTGCTAGCAGGTCAGGTCCCAACATAGTGCCAGTCAGAATGAAAAGAAGCACCAAAGTCACTAAAAGGGACCACAAGGAAACCTGACAATAATGAATAATCAAAATCAGATATGTCAGAGAAAAAAAAAGAAGGGAAAACTTACATTAGAATTGTGTTTGAAGACAAATTAATTAAATATACAAATATTAAAATAGTATAATAAGGATATCAGCACATTTATTGCAGCTGTTATAACAAAACTTTTTCCTTATATGAATAGTGGACAGACAAAATATGACTGAACAACACTGAAAAGACCATTCCCCTTAATTCCAAATACCGTTGAGTTTATCATGCTGTAGCATTTCTAATGCTAACCTATCCACTAATGGGCAGATCCTGCCATCTTTCTTACCTTGGACCTGATCCAGAATTTCAGTGGGCTTTGAATAATGCCTGAGGTGAATAAAGATGGAAGGAATCTGTCTCTAAATTAGTTTTTAGCAGAAAAACTTGTCTGAGACACTCTCTCAGAAATTCAGTAACAATCTACATTATTGTGTGAAAATTGTCATTAAAAAAAGAAAATGAAGCTGTCTTGGGTCAGGGAAGTGTATGACACTAAACATTTATTTTTGTCGTATTTTAAAATATTATCTTAAAAGTGTAAATTGGCTAAACTGTTTAAAGAAATTTCATCTTGCTTATGTGTATGTGATTTAGTTAGGGGTTGGTCCTGCTTTGGGAAGGGGGTTGGATTCCATGCCCTCTGCAGGTCTCTTCTAGTATTCTGATTCTATAATTCTATGTCAGGTTTAAACCTAAAGGAGATGTCAACCATCCAAACGGCCAGTTCTGAAGATTTGGACATTTACCTAACACATTTTAATGTCAATGTGTTCTTTTAATGAACAGAAATATTTATTTCACTGTTGTGGCTTTCATCCTAAATGTGTGTTTAAAGACTTTTGTGATATTACTTCAATCAGTCAGGTAATTCTCTTCAATTATGGTTAGTCATTTCCACGGAATGTTTTTACATCTTTCCCCATACATCTCCTTTCCTGAAATCTTTCTCTTCCCCACAATAGTGCAGGTATATAACATTGTACATTTCTGTTATTCAGTGAGACCAGATTTTTTTATTTGTCTTAGTCCTTCCCCAAAACACTGGGTGAATTCCTAGTAACTCTGCTTATTTTATTGGCCCTTAGAAATTATTTTAAAATAATACCTAAATAAATGCACATTGTTATTTTTCTTATTGACTTCCATAAAAATTGCTTGTATGATAGCTTAGTCAGAAATATATAAGTTGGTTTTGCCATGATTGATGAAAAATGCGTACTGAAAATTTTTACATTGCCAAACACAAATAACGTAGAAAAATAATTTTCTTTTTGTTTTAATTATTCCACATTAAGATAGTTGTACATATGTTTATATTATTGTTTTGAATTTACTGATTTTATTGCCCAAGGGACTCAAGCTAGATGAGGGTATAGTACCTATTATACTTATACCATTATTCATTATTTATTTAAAATGTATGCTTAGTGATGTTGTCGCATAATTAGAAGAATATTGAGCATTTCTTTTGTCGTTTGATCTGCTCGTCTTGCATTGAAGAAATGGCAGTACATTATATCGGTCTGCCTAATATTTTATTTGGTATTACTGCAGGGAAATAATGGTACATCCTTTGGTCTTAGTAAGGGAGCATTTTGGTTGATAACAAAAAGAGCTACTATTCAACTCCAACCCCGCCTCTAGCCGTGTTACAGAAAACACGGTCAGTATTCTCTTATTAGTTGACCACAATGGGCGCTTATCCTTCCTCTTTGGGAAAGAGCGAGAGATTCTGTGTAGAATTCTGAATACATTTTGAGGGTTTGCACGAGTGGATGGGATGAACCTTAATCCTAGGCTCTGAGTGATACCAGTGCATTACGCGGAAGTGCTTAGTATCTGTGTTTACACGCAGAGCTGCTGAAACGCCGCTACTTTCAATGCAGGCTCCTCCTCTTTACTCTTCGGAGGACTCACGATGTCGGGCAATAGCTATACGGTTTAGCAAGCTTTCCCCAGCTCTTTATTGCGGACCTGTTACATCTTCCCTGCGTGCATATTTTCTTACCCTTTAATTAGACTCGGACGATGCTAACGGGTTCCCTGTACCTTAGTGCAGCAGCGCTTGCGGTGCGGCCGCGAGAAGCAGCGCCCTTCCCCACACTCCTATGACCAGCCCGTCGAGGAGACTCTCCCTCGAGGCCTGCTCCCGAGTGGTGCTCAGCACCTCCCCGTGGGAGCCTAAGGTCGGACCCAGGGCAGCGGTGGTTACCTTGAGCAGGAAGTCGGCGACCCTTGTGCACTTGTAGCGGATGAAAACTCCGACGCCGATGGGGAGCAACGTGCTGCATAGGGTCAGACTCACGGCCCCCAGGGGCAGGAGCTGCACCAGGGGCGTGTTGATCCAGGCGCGGCTGTATATCCACAGGCACAGAGGCATCAGCAGCAGGGCCAGCAGGGTGGAGGAGGCGGTCATGATAATACTGCGGGAGGGAGGGGAAAGAACAACAGGCAGCGGGTCAGCGCGAGCCGTCTTCCATCAGCTGCAGGAGCTGCGTGTGTGTGTGTGTGGGGGGGGGGGGGAAGCCCCCCCCCGGTTCCAGTAAGAGCTGGCGATGTAAGTCCACTTAGTGTAGGGAGGCACGAGCCTATTGTATCAAACTCCTGCTTGGAGGCTGGGAGAAGAGTCGCCCAGGGCGCAAGTGGCTCTTAGCTTGAATGTCCCTTCGGTCTCAGAGCAGAGGGGAGGTGCTCACATATCGGCCGGAATATGGTTTCAGAGAGGGGGAGGGGACGTACCGTGTTGCACGGAAAAGCTGCCTGACTTCGGGCGCCTTGCAGCGCAAACCGCTCATTATTGCCATTTTCCAGCGCGGGAGTCCGCCCCTCCCCACACCCCCCCAAGGCACACAACCGGCGCGGGGGGCAACGGGGCTCATCTCCGCCCCCCTTCCCCACGGAGATCCTGAAACCGGCTCCTCCCCTCCCCACGGAGATCCTGAAACCGGCT